ATGTTTTCTTTTAGAAAGGTATGCTTTAGGTTGGAAAGCTTTCATGCAAACACAGCACAACTTTAATGAAAGTTAAATTGAGCCTTCTTGCATCGCAACCTCCATTTTGCACTACAACTTAATTAATAGTGTCCAGAGGAGGACAAAAAAGAGAGTCTCTTCCTAAACCTGGTGCAAAAAAGCACTTACAGTTAGCATTTTGATGTTTTGCGCCCCGATTCGACCCGAACGAACGCCGTGGGTGATGTGTGGCAACCGAGATAAGTCTATGTATGCCTGTTCGTTTGACGTTTACAGTGCTGGGAGCCATGTCACCACTTCCTTTTTTGGTCAGCTGCAGGTGTACTGCCTTTAGGATGGAGAATATGTTTGTTTGATACACCAGAGGTCTACAGACTTGTTCATTGATACATCTTGAGGTTTCGGCATAACTTTTCGCTTCTGTCACTCGTTACTGCCTCAGTAATCTCTATGTTTATTGAGGCTCATTTACGGATTAGCATTACGAATCGGACAATAATCTTCTCACTCTTAATTTGTTCTTTATCTACCCTAGGAGTGCGCCGAAAGTGCGAGAGGGGATTTAGACAAAGAAATTGCTTTTCCAGGCACTTTTGTTACGCCACACCCATCCTTCCATTGGTGAACAGTGGCGCCGTCTCTACAAAGCATGAGCTAATTTGGATGAGACTTTTTTGGGAGCAAAATGCTTAAACTGGGGTTCTGAATGCAAGACTGTCGGTGCAACTGAAGGATACTGTAAAGATTCATAGCTTGAATAACTAAAATTACAGAAAAGATATTCCAAAAGTAGCTGTGTAGCAATGAAGTTAAGAAAAGTTGACGGGCTCCATTGAACAACAGATGAATGCAAGAACAGTTGATTTATATTAGAATAAAATTGAGAGAATGGAGTGAAGCGATCCATTTGACATTAATATACACTAGCGATGATAAGTAATAAGCCTTGAAGGTTCATTAATGTGCCATCCTTTAGCTCTTTCAAATGCGTAATGCTTGTGAACGTGGCTTTTAGATGCGCCTTAGGCAACTGACTGCCTCTTGATAAGCCGTGTCATCTGAGTTCAAACATTAGGTGAAAGACCTCACCATTTGTTACCTTCACATGATCTCCACAAACTCCCACTTCTAAGGCATGCACCGTATCAATCCTGAAAGACCATCCTTGTTTGCTCGTGGGAGGAGGGTGGGCCTGCGTTGGAATGCGAAAGTGCCTGTCGCTATGCGCAATCCACATGCCAGGGAGGTTTAGTGATAATGCCTGAAGGGAATGATGAAGGCGCTGTATCATCTGCAAGATGGAAGTCATGAAATTCCCCGAGTATGTTCATTCTACTCGTAGTGCATTTTCAGGTACAAGGAACTAGGCTTTTGTGACTTATCCTGTAACAATTCACTTCAGCTATGGTCTTTACTAGATAACTCATTCGGGAATTTTCATGTGCGTGATATTCAATAGGCATCCTTACATTTGTAGGTAATAGTTCAGCTGATGCAGTACCACAATAAGACCTACCTCTTGAACATTCCAAACTGGGATTGGCGTCGCGGCGATGATGCCATCTGTGTGGCAGAACTGAAACTAGGCTTCTTGGCTCAGAATTGTCTAGCTCCAGGATTTTCCACCCTCCTTGCCAATCTCTTTACAATGCGCACCTACCGCAAATCGGAGAGTCAGGATGGAAACTGGCTCAACGATTACATGGAGGGCGCGGGAATGGAGATGTACACAGAACAATTTTCTCCCTCTTTTGAAAAAATGACTTTTGCTGCTGCCGCTGAACTCTGTTTCAGTAGACTTCGACTTCTGTTGATTGCTGTGCAATGCAAAGGCAGTTTGGAGACCCACATTGTCATTAACCCCAACGTAAGTTGTTTTCTCTGGATTTAAGCGGAGTAACCATCATGTCCGCTTTTTG